TCTTTAAAAATGAGTTAAAAGGAGCATCACTTGGATAAAAAAATTTATTTGGACCTTCTAATAAAATAAATGAGCTCATAAAGATAATTCAAATATTTTTTAAAATAGATAAATAATTAAAATCTTGTAGAGCCTATAATTTTTAATGAAAAAATAAATAAAATTTTAATTTTTCTAATTTTTTCAATTTCGGATCGGATATCATATATCATAGTTAATCGAATATGGATTTAACACTCAATTATCCGTTGAATTATAGGATCGGATCGAACTGGTTAATTATTCTTAACAGATTGGATCTAATTTGAGCATATCCAATCCATTTACAGCCTTAGCTATACGTGGACCTTCTTTAAACTTTCAATTTCTACCAACGTAGAAGCGAGCTTCATTGACTCTTCAACTTGATTCTTCTTTAAAGTCTCTACCTCAGCTGAGGCCTTTCTAGCTGCTTCCACGATCTTTGTGGCCCAGGTCGTATACTCCTTATTCTTATTCATGAGGTTTATAACGAGGGCATCGGCCTCAATAGCAGTGCTAAATGCCCTTGCCGTTTGGCTCACCATTGTGATGAAAATGTTAGCACACTCATTGACTACCAATGCTTCGTCTAGTACTTGTAAAAAGTTGCTGACGGGGGTTGCACTTCTAGAGGCAGCATTGTCAGAATCTCCAGAGCCAGCTCATCACATAGGAAATAGAGAGCTTCAGGCGAGGGGTGGCTTCAATTGTAAAGACCTACTGGAGGTATTCACCTTCTTTGATGAATTGCGGGGGGCTCCGCTTCAGTGGACCTCTTCTGGGCCCCCTTGCAGCAACAATTGACACTACCATCAACTTTTCCCCAGTAGGGACTTCGGAGCGAGACAGTGGTGGGCTGGTAGTTGACCCACCAACTTCAGTAGCAAAAAAATGTTGTTTCTTTTTGGGGACTTCCCCTTCCCTTTGTCTAAGAGAGGTCTCCCAGAGGTCTTTTGGCCAGTAGCTTCCTTGCTAACCTTCTTGGTCCTTCACATGTTTTTCTACAATAGATGAGGGCTTCAACTCCTTCTTTCCAGCCATGGAGGTGGCGGCCCAAATAGTGGTCATATCAGGAGAGAGGTGCCTCGTCTTCCCAAAGCTCTCTGCAAAAGCAACTCAGCAAGTACATTAGAATGCAAAACATATAAACTAAGCAAACCAGTAAACTGCCAAAGATGCTACAAAAATACCTCTCTTGGGCATTAGGTTGAATTCTTCAAAAAATGGTTTCGAAACGATAAGCCTTTCGAACTACTTTGACGAAGCCAGTGCAAGTATATATCCTTGATAAGTTCGAGTTTTGATGAACTGAGCTCGTACCTATCAGCACCTCTTACAAACAGAAAAATGAATACAACCTCAAATATCATGAAAAAATCGTCATTATATGTGAAACAATAAATAACGACACTCATTGGCTTCAGGGTACGAGATAGGAACAATCACATGGAGAATGGTGTCACCTTGGCACAACTGCCACTTTTCCTTGCCCAAAACTACGCTTGCTTCCACTCTTTGATGGAGGAGGGAAGGCTTATGACAAATGGGGCATGTGACTTCATGGACATAGGGAGTATCACCCCTTCAAATCCCTTTTACCTAAGGACATAGGTTGGAGCAAGGTCCAAAATACTTGGAGAGGCATGTCCTCGCTTAATGAGGTCTCCTTCCAAAGAAAGTAGGACCCTATTAGCTGAGCCCATGCATTGGGATGAGCAAGGTGGGTCCAGTTTGTATAACCAAAGGATGGTTCGTATACAATGGAAATCGAAGTCCTACCTTTAAAAGGAATTCACTAGTGGCTAAACACCTTGACCTAGGGTAACATGCACGCTCATCAAAAGAGGGGGCTAGGAGCTCTACATCGTAGAGAATACAATATTTTTCCCTAAGACTTACTAAGTGAGAGGCATTTACAATAGAGAGAATTTTTTAGGCCCCCAAACCTTCCTCCCCCGAACCACCCTTCACAATTGGAAGGCAGCTTCGACCAGCATTAATGGCCTTAACTAGGTCAGCAGTATTGGTGACTTCAACCCCTATCTCAGTACCCAACCTCACATCTACCTCCTTAGACAAAGATGATGCCATGTTAGTTATAAAACTTAAAGAAAATTTTAGATACTTACAAAAAATTGATCAAAACGGGTAGAAAATTTTCAAAATCCAAAAAGCTTGAATAAGGAAGAAAATGGTGAAAACACAGAAGCGTAGACAACTCAAGAACACATGAATAATGCAAAGGAGAAAAAAGATTTTCGCCTAAGCCTTCCCATTTTATAGGAAACAACTTCTGATCCTGACCGTTGAATTCAAAAATCCGATCTCCCAATTGTTGATTTGGCAATTAAATCTGAGCTGCTCACAATATTTGCTATTTCGTATTCTAGAGCTCAGATTGCACCGTGACTCTTACATACACCACTTTTCCTGGGGGACAAAAGGTATACCTGTAACCGACATCATTGCACATCTAATGCAAAGATGGTTACGTGTATAGGAAATTGAACCGCTGTCAGCTGTCTTTTCTAGAGATTGCAAATGACAGTCAATCATTCCAACGCGGTGCTCAATAACCCCCACACTTTCCAACGCCGACCCTATACAACTTCTCTAATCAATAACTACCTCATTTCACTTTCGAAGCTCATCACTTCGACAAATTCACATTACTATAACCTCGAAGTAAATGAACATCGGTTCAGACAGCTTCTTCCTAGGATGTAGCTTTCAGGTGCCTCAATTTTTCCATAAACTCTAATTTCCACATAAATGTTCGCAAATTAGACTTGGAGGACTACAATATTGCACAGATTTTTCAAAATTGACGAAATATAAAATTCTATGTATCACATGAATGATTATACATAGACTTTGAGGGACTATTGTTGCTGATCATACATTACGGTCCACGTGGAAGCCCCATAAAAGGTCAACGGCTGAGGTTGTTGCATTAAATGATGAGGTCATTTCACTAGAGTTATCCGAAGTAGTCCTAGCCCTTACGTATTCGAGGTGGGCCTACTTCTTTTCGTCGAACTCCACAACTCGGATAAGCACATTTTTGGAGTTGATTGATGTGACGTCCTCATTAAATAAGCGTCAAGGATGTCAGCCTAAGGATGTAGTGTGGCCGACCTCTTGTCAAATGCCTGTCAATGTAATTAATGTGAGGTAGGATTGATGTGACGCCAAGGTCTAGTAGATTAGGCCACGTGGATCGGATTCAATGGTGACCACCTCGGCACGATCACTATAAATAGCCATTTCTTGTATCATTTTAGGGGATGCACCTTTGAACAAGGAAGAGAACATAATCCACTTATTCATATATAGTTGCTCACCATTTCCACCTTCTTCTACAAATACATGCATTTATAGTCGGTATATGGCTAAACACACTCATGTGTACATTGTCTTCGAAAGACACCTGTTGGCCATTTTCGGAAGTCAACATCTGTTCCAGAGAATTTGTAAGCAAATGAATTATCAGATAAATATCGATAGTTAGGTAACTTCATATTTTAAGGAAACAATATAAAATAACTCTTAATCGTGACTGTATGGCATGTGTTAACTGTTGAGTTGGACATGTAAAGTCTCTAACATTATTTAATCTAAGAATTCATCTATAAATATTCATGTACATTATTTAACCTAGAAATGCACATATTCACTCTATAAATTAGAATTTTGATTTTTGTACTCGGGTGTTGATACGTCCGATTACACGCCCCTCACAAGAAGGGACGTGTCGACATAATGTATTCATTGGCGGACAGATGCGTGCATCGATCATGCTAGCGAAGTCCTCACTCTATCTCTCTCTCCTACATTTTTTATGTCTTTCACTCAAGTGATGACCCGTGCTCCTTATATCAAATTTGATTTTTATTCTTTTTTCTCACTTACTTTTTACCGAATTAATTTTTAATTAACCTTAAATATTACTTTGAAGTAAAAATCTATTCTAATAAAAAAAAAAAAGAATAATACAAAAGACACATGCCAAGATTATTGATCATTACCTTATTGCCTCAATTTTGAAACAGAAATTCCAATGTTTCAAGGATTATTAAGCCCTTGTTTGAGCCCCATTTTTGTCGAAAAAAAATAAAATTTTTGAATAGTGTATTGATGAAAAATGTATGGTTAAAAAATAAGGAAAAATTTTGAATTTGCATTTAATATTATTTTATTGAAAAATGCGTTGTTGAAATGAGGTCAAAACACTGTTCAAGAATTCTTTTTTTTTTTTTTTTTTCAAAAAATGAGGCTCAAACCAAGGGCTAACACAAAAGTTTAGGAACCGTTCTCTTCGTGTTTGAGTTTTATAGTTTTGAGTTTTGAATTTATTTTGAGTTTTGTGTTTTGAGTGGCTATATTGAAACTGTTGAAAATTCATTCTTTTTGTCATTTTGAAAAATAATTTCTGGAAATATAAAATTGAAAAACGTGTTTACTTTGAAATTTTGAGAATTTATTTTTATAATATTTTATTCAAGAAATATGATTATTTATTAAATTTTAATATTTTAATGTTAATATAGTATTAAATAATATATAAATTTTGAAGTTGGTGAAACCTGAAATTTATTTCATTTTAGTATTGAAAATAATGAAATTTATTTCATTTTAGATCTGACCTCAAATTTGTTTCATTTTAGTATTGAAAATAATGAAGTTCCTTCGTTCTATCATTACATTCATACGAAAGAGTTGGTCGACGAATTGACACAACCATTTATAAAAAATAATGACCTCCACAATTTCTTGAGATCCTAATACACAATAGTGAACAAAATTAAAGAAGAAACACGTGTGAAGTGTTTACTATCATGTCAATTCTTTAAAGTACACTTTACCAAAGTCGTCTTCAATGCAAATGTCACGAGTAGGTTTAGCTTTGAGAAAATTTTCCATTTCAATAAGTCCACATTTGTCAACTTATAATCCGTAAATTTCGAAGAGCATGTTAGTCATACGAAATACATATCAAATTATAATCAATTATATACTTCGATAAACATGAACTAAGTTAGTTTTATCATGACTGTAACATATCCACTTCGGTAACAATTACAACAAAGCTGAACACCTTATTATCATCAGGAGAAGCAGCATATGGTTAGCTACTATTTTTACATGTTGCTAACGCTATTTGCTATTTGCTATTTGCTATTTAGAAGGTTGTACATGATGGAGAAGTGGCTACCAAGCAGGTGAGTACAAGTGTACGGGTAATTGCTGCCTCTTAATGTTGCAAAACTCAAGGGAAACTTGTAAATTAGAAATGGATCCAATATCAAGCTGTTTTTGTTACCATCTACAATTATCAGAGAATCAAAAATCAATATACGATTTCCCAAAAATATGCAACTTTGTGCTACAATTAGCAAAATGTGGTGTTTAATCCTTGACTCTATCTAATTTCTCGAGTCCTAATCTTGATCTATTTGTTTAGTATCATGACCTTTCATCAATTAACATTGGATTATCAATCTTTCCTCCTTAATCAAATTCAATGAGAGGCAACCAACTTCAAACGTTTCTCATCATTCATGAACAAAAATTACTTACACATACTGGGAAGAGACATCTCACAGCTTTTCCAAAATAATCTATACTTGCAGTATATATTTTCATAGTTATGATTTATGGAAAGAATTTGTTTGATATTGAATTGCATTCTTCTGAAGCAAATTAAGCAATCCACCACCACGAGTGGCATTTACAGATTACTCAAAGCCAATTCCCAGTGATTTGAATTCAATCTCATTCATCTGATAATGAGACCTATCTCCAACAGAAAGATTTCAACAATTTCTTATCCAAACTAAGACTAATAGTTTGCAGACTCCTTAAGAAACATTAAGTAGCCAACAAGATAATGAAAGTCACCTCATTTTCAACATCCAATTTCGAAAATTTCAATAACAGTAAGTAGCCAAAAAATTCAATAACATACAAGAAACCATAAATAAATGTGCAAAAACTAAACCCAACCCATTCAAAAAACCAACCTTGATGTTTGGAAAGTAGAATTGATTGTTTGTATAAATAAAATTTCATCAATTTTGTTGGGACCAAATCTGCCACAACTCACGGACTACTTTCACAAGCTCACTCGAATCTAGACAAAATTGTAGGTGACCCATGGTGGTATTGGATACGCCTGGTTGACAGGTGTAGAGTGGTGGTGGTCCGCGCTTGAAACGGTGGCCGACGACGGTGAAAATACGGTGAAAATCGTGACTGGTAGTGCGGTTTTGGGTGATGATTGGGGCTGTTTTGGGCAACTCCGTGGCCAGGTGATGACAAGAGCTTGAAGAGGGAGGTGAAGGGGTTCGAATGGTTGTGAAATCTGGTGTTCTAGGTGGCGGGGGGTGGTCGATTGTTGAGGAAGAAGGCAGCAGGTTTTCCTTGGTTCTCTGCTCTCACGCACAATAATGGAAAATGAGTTGTTTTGAGTGTTTTCAATTTCCCTGTGTTTTGTACATTTTTTTTTTTTTTTTGAAAAGTCATTTTCGAAAATAGTAAAGAGAACTCGTTTTCACCGTTTTAAAAAATCGAAAACAGAAAATGGGTTGAAAACAACAAAGAGAACAGCCCCTTATTTTTTCAGTTTTGTAAGTCTTCTACCATGACTTATTTATTTATCGTCTTTAGTCACAATTTCTTTACTATTAGGAACTAGGAAGCTTAGGCTGCGGTTGGTTTATCGTTTTCGGCTCATTTTTCGTTTTTCGTTTTCGAAAACGCGGAAAACGCATTTGGTCCGTCGTTTTCGAAAACGAGTTAAAATTTATAATTGAAAACGCAAAACGATTTTTTATCGTTTTCAGCGTTTTCAGTTATAAATATCGAAAACGCTCAAAACGCGGAAAACGGGTCGTTTTCGGGGAAAGCTAAAAATCGTTTCGAAAATGAAAATGAAAAATGAAAATGCAAAGCAATCACTACCTTATTTATTCCTTATCAAGATTAATTCATTAGTTACAATTTTAATTGAAGTTACATTATTTAATAATTATATTTATATCTACTGTTTCAAATAACTTTTAACTTACATTTTTCTCTTGAAAATGTAGATGAAAAATTAAAATTTTGACTTACTGTAGGCAAAAAATGGCTTGAATACTTGTGGCTTAGCTAATATTGCTCACTGTACCAGCATTGCTTTTAATGACAAACACATTTTTTTTAATTAAAAAACTAGACATGTAAATATTGAGATCGAAAGTCCACTAATAGTTAAAAGTAGGGTGGAATGAAGATAATTTTTTTTGCATATTTCTAAAAATGTTATTCTTGTTTACGTGTCTACTGTAAGACCGTCCTTAGAGATTATTTTAAGAATAACTCTATTTGTACTAAATTTGGGGTACTAAAAGTTGTCCCTCTCTCTCACAACGTATGCAGGTCCCGCGTGAATATAAAAATTCTCAAATGTAGTTTCCATCACCTATTGTGAATAATAGGTAAAGGATTACGTAAAAAAATTATGTACATATATAGGGTTGTCAATGAGCCGAGCTGAGCCGACTCGGCCCATGAAAGCACGAGCTCGTGGGCCGAGCCGAGCCCTGCTCGCGAGCAGACGTCGTTTTTCTTTTTTATTTTTTTAAACAAATAAGTAAATTGAAAAATAAAAAAGTAATTTTAATTTTTAAATCGTGAATTATATATAAAAAAATTAGGTAAAAAATTTAAACCCTCCTCCTTTATCCGGGCTTGGGATCGGCTACTTAAATTTAGAGTAGGCTGAGTTAAAAATTGTGTTGTTTGTTTGTTTGTTCGTGTACAATTTTTTAAATAAAATTTAAAATATTATTAAAAATTATTTTTTCAAGCAACGCTGCACGTCCCCTTGTATATAATTTTCGAAGAAAATCCCTTCTAAAAATTGAAAGGGTAATCGAATACCCTTTCAATTGTCAGAAGTCTTCACTTCGAAAATTATATAGAAGTTTTTCACTTCGAAAATTATATATAATCTTCGAAGTTTTTTAAAGAAAATTAAAAGTAATGATAAGAAAAGAAAAGTTTCATCAATATAATTAAATCAAACATCACTTACTTGTCGACATGCAATTTCGGCATATTTATCTTGTAGTAAAAAATGAGCGTCCTGCTAATCCTTAACGCACATTAACGCTTCTAAAATATATTCTTTAATTCAGCTCCTGACCTCGCTCAAAACTCTTTTACTTGCACTAAAAGTAGACTCCGAAACAACAGTGCCAACCGGAGGTGTCAGCAGATCTTTTGCAATCGCAGATATAACTGACCAACGTCGTTCATACTTTCGCCAGAATTCAATTACTTCGTCTGAACTTTTTTTAATTGTTTTATCTATTGATATATTTTGGTTGAAATAATCAATTAATTCACCAGGCAATGCATTATGGTTTAAGCCCGTAGATGTTTGATGAGAATGAGATACAGATGGTGACGACATGACAGTGACAGTGGTAGTAGATGAACACATTGCAGATGAATCAAATCTATACAAATTAATGCTTTGAAATAAATTAAATATTTTCGCATCTTCTTCTTCAATTTCAGTGGAAGGAGTAGGTGCAGATGGCACCCGACTAATATTGGTATTCATTCGGTTCGCATATAATTCATACATTTTACATAATGTTTGATCTAAATTTCTATATGTGATAGGTGTATCAAATGTTAAGGCATTTGAAAGTTGATCAATTATATATTTAGTTTTCGATAAATTATATCGGGGGTCCATCACGCATGCTAAAGAAAATAACATAGGCAAATCTTTCCAATATTTTCTAAATGTTAATTCCATAGTAATTATGATTTCACTAAAATCAGGGTCATTTCTGTATTTATGAAATGTTCTTACAATTATATAAAGACGTTCAAGCACCATACAACTAGTGGGATAGTAAACGCCCGATAAAATCTTAGTGGTTTCATAAAAAGATGTAAAAAAAATTTAACTTTCAAAGCTAAATGTCAATCACGTTCAGTCAATATGCCATCATCATCACTTCTAACATGTCTATTGTTATAAAAGTCAGTTATTAAATGTTCAAAACATTCACATGATTTTAATAGCAAGTAAGTAGAGTTCCACCTATGACCTACGCCGCTAACAAATGTTTTAGCATTTTGCACTCCTATTTCGGTACAATAATCCTCAAATGCTTGTTTTCTACTTGGAGAGATTGTGATATATATTAGTGCGTTCTTAATATTTTGAAATTCATCCTTTATATATTTTAAACAATCTTGAACAATTAAATTCAAAATATGACATACACAACGAATATGAAACAAAAATCCATCAAAATCAGGTTGTAATACCCTATGCAATTTTTCAGCAACTACTTTATTAACACTAGCATTATCGAAAGTAAATGAACAAATTTTACCTTCGCAATGATATTCTCTAACAATACTAATAATAGTATTAAATATATTATTAGCATTGTGAGGAAATTCAATAATTCTAAAAGCAATAATTTTTTTATGCATGCACCGAAGTGAGTCTATATAATGTACAGTTGCAGTTATATATGTTCTTTTATTAATCCCTTCCCATATATTCGAAGTTAAAGATATGACACCCCCATATTTTTGCAAATTCATAATTAATTGTTATTTTGTTGAAGTAAAATATTGTATTATATCGAAACGAAGAGTGTTTCGACTTACCCCAACCTACCTTGGCTGCAGATATTCTTTCACATATGAGATGTAGTGTTGGTTGTCAATTAATGTCAAAGGTAACTCAGCACCAGCAACAAGCTTCACCATTCCGGTTCGAGCTTTCTCCTCCGAATACACCCATGTGGATAGGGGTGTAGCAGAACCACCGTCATCTGGACTGCCAAATTGCAATTGTGTTTGACAGCCTGGAATAAGTCCGTGTTAGGCTGTACATACTTTGTAATAACAGTTGAGATGTGTGGTACCAATTCCTCTTTGCCATGCTAATCTTTGTTGACAGTATTTACATACTGTTTTGGATTCTTGGACTACATTGACGATTTTTCCCGTTGAAATCAACTTAAAGTAATTCTAACATTTTGCTTGTTTTTTCCCTTTTCGCTTTCCTCTCGCATCAGGAATGTTTAATTTAGCCTCTTCTTCCTGATCATGTTCCGCTTCAGGAACGTCAACATCATCCAAAATAATTGGATAATTTGGATTGCCACTTACATGATGATGAAGATTCAAATCTGGAATATCTTCAGGTAGGGATACGTCATTTAGACCTTCAAATTGATTCCGAAATTGACTTTGCGGTGTCATAGACGATTCGTTTCCTCCCACACCAAATAAGTTTTCGACAAATGCACGTGGATCCATTTGTTTAATTGTAATAAGTAATAACTAGTAGAAGAATAATTGTATAAACATAGTGAGAAAAGAAAATTGGATGAAATTTTAATAAATATAGTGAGAACTGAGAAATGAGAATTGAATATTGTATAAATTGTATATAAAAATTGTACAACTATCAACACAATACAAGAGAGTTGAGAGAAAGATAATTGAGAGTTGAAAGTGAATTGTAAAAGATTTTGTGGTTAAATGCCACTATTTATAAAAGAAGAAGAAAAAAAATTTAAAGACCAAAATGGTCACTGAAAAAATTCAGTGACCGTTAACGGTAAAAATAAATAAATAAATAAATAATAAATAAAATAAATTTAATTCAGGGACTGAAACGGTCACTTTTTTAAAAAAGTGATCGTTTCGGTCACTTTAAAAAACGAGCTTGACTCGTGGCTCGTTTTTTGTGCGCTCAGCTCGCCCACCGAACTGGCCCGCTCGGCTCGAGCTCGAGCTCGTGTTTTTACGAGCCCGAGCCGCCCACGAGCTCCGTTTTCGCGAGCCGAGCGGACGAGCTGATGAGCCGCTCGACCCATTTGCCACCCCTAACATATAGCATTGTCCTTGTTTAAATGCGAAGAAAATATTTTATTACTGAATTGCAAAGCACTGTTTGTGTTTATTATTATTTTTTTATCTTTGTTCTAACCATTGATGATAATTTATCGAATTTAGATTTTTTTTACTTTCTTAATAATATTTAAAGTTAATTAAAAACTAAATTCGATAAAAATTAAGAGGGAAACATAGTAAAATCTAAATTCAGCAAGACTTATGTCGACATTAGAGTGAATAGTTCGAAAAAAAAAAGTAATAGAGAAAAATAGAGTAAATATTAATTATGACACAAAAGATTATGTGACATCAATGTGAGGGAACGATCCCACAACATGTGCATATAGGACCGTCCCACCTAAATTTTTCTCGTCAAGATCTTTAACATTTATAATATCGACAAAAAAAATTCTATCCTTATTGAATGTATCGAATACATGCTTCTAGTGAGTAAACTCATTGCCCATGATCGGTGTAGTTAAAAATTAAACTTTTAGTAAATTTTAATAAAAGTTACTGAAATGTGTGTTAAATTTTTATCAACTTTTTAAGTCACACCAAATAGGATCTTAGTACAATAGAGATAATCCACCAATAATATTTATTGAGTAATTCTAACGTGGTGGGTTTGGAGTTCACCTAAATACATTTAAAAGAAACAACTTTAACATTATTAGAACCTTTCTTCCATCAAGAAAACAGAACCAAAGCTTCATAAAATGCAAAAGAAAATTCTTTAGTAACAAATAATAATTAAAAAAAGATTCAGAGGCTAATTCATGTGACATCTAGTCCAAGATAAAATAGGTGTACGATAAACACATCACTCAGCCATTCTGAGATCATCTTCAAACTTGCAGCTGTTGCTTCATGCTCACCAAAGACTCCAGGAATTCCTTGACCTTGACATAATTTTGCATTGGTTAAGGAGGGTTGGGAGTCGAAAAACTCGAGAAATTTGAAACTAAAACAATGTAAAAATGCACATGATAGCGATCAAATTTTCACCTCTGAAGGATCCCTCAGAGAGAAGAAAGCATTGGTTTCTTTCGGGACAGCTGATACAAGAATTCCATAACCACGATTCCCCAACTGCAACACCTGAAATATGAGTAAACAATGTTTATAAAACGAAAATGTAAATTGATGAATGAATTTTAAGCTTAACAACAGACGTATTACCTTAAATGCATCTTCATCAGTTGTGTCATCTCCAACGTAGATTGGGAGCAC